TCGGATGCGGCGGTGAGATTTGTAAATAATCTCCTTTGTAGATTTTTAGCTGTTTTTTTTTATCGATGATTGCCTGGATTGTGGCCTCCTTGTATCCGTTGAGTCTCGCTGTTTCAAATATGTACTACAATTCCTTAAACTTTCTTGTTTCGCTGAGCGGAAGAAGAGTCTGCATCCTAAGAATCATGTAATGGAAGGTGGCCATTTTTGATTAACTGAATGGTTATTAGTATAGGATGTATAGGGGATAACTATTTTGGTACTTGTTGGTTTCCTGTAAACTTCGTATTCAAAAGAAGAAGATGATTACGATTCCCTGATGACAAGAAAGTTGAGAAATGCGAGTTTTCCGTCTCATCTAAACTTTGTTTAGGGGTTTTCCGTTTAACTACGCTGAAGACATCGTCGACAAACCTTCACCAACGGTTTAATAATAGTCCTTTCTCATTCAGAATTGTCTCCAAGTCAGCCATGAAAAGTTCACACAGGAAGGGGTATAGGGGATTTCTCAAAGGGGCTCCTTTCGTCTGCTTGTAGAAGTTACCTCGGAACCGCTGTGACATCGAAAGATACCCTAATCTCGTCCTCGTTGATGTCTCCTAAAGATTGTAACTGCTGAGAATTCTTGTAAAATTTTCAAAATGGCGTGCTTTGAAATTGTATCACGGATGCGGCATTTCGCATCGAAATGACGTCTGAGACAAAGTTGTAGCAAAAATAAAATGTGTCTGAACAAAATCAAAATTGTTTTCTATTTATTAAAATTAAGTAAAAATAGTTCAAAACCAAAATTTCGATAAAAAGCTTATCAGAAATGCAAAATTTTGGAAAGTCCAAAAGCATGGACACTTGGAAACTGTCAAAAATTGTAGAACAAGGACTTTGGGTCAAATATGTGAACATTTTGTTTGTTCGCCTTTATATGTATTTTTTGCACAGGAAATAATTTTTTTTTTAATCCGTTCCTAAGGTCATTCTCTAGCTAATCAATTAACGCACTAAAGCTTCATGTTAAATAGCATTTTCAATCAACTCTGAAATTTTAAGTGTCCATAATTTCAAACACTCTAAAAGTTTGTATTTTCCATGAGATTTTTTTTAATAAAAAAAATAAATATCGGCAAGGAAATTTTAAGATATTAAGGTTTCATTATTTTTTTTAAATTTTTACTTAAAATTACAAAAAAAAAAGTTTTGTGTATGTTCCCCTGAAAAAAAAAACATTATTTTTATGAACAACTTTGACTATTACCAGGCTTCGGTCAAAAGTGCCGTTTACGTGCTAAAATTTTTTGATAAATTTCGATGACACCGATTTAAAAATTTTACAAAATCCAAAATGGGCAATTTTATTGCTAAAATACGAATCATTGCCCAGCACAAACAATTATGTTAACTTTCAAGCAAATTGGAGTAGGTCGAGTTTTTCGGATTCGTCATTTGGCGTCGAACTGCTCCCATACCTTTCTACCCCTGAAATCCCTTTATACGGCCTTGAATACGCCAACATTATCTTTAACACGTGTTACGGCCATGAGTGGTTGAAAATATCGTTTTTGATCCATCAAGCTCAGTCTATTTCGAATCAGGTCCTGATAATTCTCCCAAAATTTGAGCTCATTTGGATGCGAACTCATACTGATACTGAGTTTTATGCGGGAATTACTATGGGAAAAGTGAACTTTGTGTTGACATCTTTCTAGTCCTTCACCGTAAAAGCTTGTTATCTATACTAGCGTGAGAGGCATGGATGCTAGCCATTACGCCGGGCCCGTCATCAATACGTTGTCTTAAATTATATCAATAAAATTGGAGACATCCATACCTCACACGAAGGACCTATTGTTTTAAATTGAAGTGACTATAATAAAAAAATATCTATATCTGTTGTGTGCTGATACACCATTTTTTTCTGTAGATCAATATAAGTGGCTAAGTATAAATATTTAACGTCGCCCATTTTTAGCCGCTCCTCGTTACGGCACCGATTAATAATAACACATGTTTTTTGTTTCTCTCATACTAATTTCGAACACAGAAAGAGTCGGGGGAGGTAGCTCATCGATTCTTCCGGTTCGCCTCCTAGCATCGTGCTATAAGGTACCAGGCGATAACCAGGGTAGTTGATCGATAGCTTGATGACGTCATTTCGTTGGCGTCTGCTATGGGAAATTCTCATAGCAGGCGTTGACGATGGGACGTTGTCGAGTTGTTGAATAGCAACTATCGTGGTAACTCACCGATTACCTGTCGATCTGCCAAATTTGGAAAGACGTCTGCATTGAATTGTCTTATATAATAATATTCCGCCCACTATATCACACGAAATTGCGAGTAGTTGAGTGGAATGGAGATAAGTTAAGCATTGGGTACAGGACCAAGTCTCCCCTGGGTGGTGCCAGAAGATGAGCGCAATAGAATCATCAAGTTGCCATAAGGCACGGAATGAGACTATTGCATGGCTGGGTAGTCAAAGTCTTCCATTCGTTAGTCATTTCAGGTGGATTAGAACAGGTTTAGGTTTAGGGTGGGCGTTGGCCAGATTTGGTTTCCTAAATAGGACCTAGATTATTTAATACACTAGTAACCTCAACTTCTGTCACAATGTTTCATTGTGACTAATCAACACTCAATGGGTAAAATATCAAATTTGCGGTAAATTTGAAAAAAAGGGAACTTGGAGTGTAGAGTGCACTGTCCACTGGACGATTCTGAATCCTGACCAAGTGAGTGGGTTACGGGTTTATTTGATTGTACGTCATTTCCAAGTTATATATAGATACATTCATACCATTGGCATTTTGTATTTAAGATAAGACAGAGACAGGATGCGGAGGGCCCGCTTAGGGGGAGCGTATAACATGTTATGGCTTCCATTTATTAAATAGTTCAGATAGGCTGGAAATGATAGGTTCATGGTGAGAAAATGTACCATATGGTGCCCGTTCACTGATCAAAATTAGATTCAAATCGTCAGGCCCTGCCCTGGAATAAGGGAATTGACGATGATTTGTCAAGTTTCATTTTGCATTTGCATATAATTGTAAGTTTAGGTTTGCTTTTGTAATTGTAAGATAGATAGTTTGCCTCAATTGAAACATTGCGTTAAACATGACGAATCATACCTCTAAAATAGTAGTAGTTACAGTGCCACATTATCTAACTTTTGTTTTGTTTGTTTACATATAACTAATACTAATACCTCCTTGTTTTCTCTCTAATTTGTCTACTATGTCCCACCATCACGATGAGAGATGAGCTACCGTACATGGTACACGCTCATATACACTCCCAAAATAGTATGCCGCAAGTAAGTATATCACAGAGGCAACTAAAGATCCAGAAACAAAAACCGAAAACGCTGAACGGCAGATTGGTTTACAGTGGTCGACCAGGGTGTGTGCTGATAAATTACAAAATAACAATTACATCATTATTCCATACATCAGCTTGAATTACGTTGATCGATATTACATTTTTTTTTGCTGTGCACTACACCACCGGAGCCAGCAAAGTTCAACAATCCATCGTTGCTTATGCCTTTGTTGTCGTTTGGAACCAGTTTTGCGAGGTAGGTGACGATTGTGCGTATTTCTCGCGTAAATTTTGAAAAGGGCCTAGCCTGAACAATACGTAAAGAGCAAATTGAAACATTGTACGTCGCGTGAAAGTGGAACTTAATGAAGGCCTAAGTACTTTTTCGTAGTTTTTAGTTTTCGTCGGTTACAGTGGCCTGCTTACTGAGCAGAAAAACGCGGTCCCAGGTCCTTACATATCAAAGAGATTTATAGTAAAATCGCTTGTGTATCGTGTATTTTGCGAAACTCGTTGTTGTCGTTGGTTCCGGGTTTGAATGGATACAAAAATTAGAGCAACGGTATTATGTGATATGAGGGGCTCGGTGGCCTTAGAGCAACCGTTTTTGCTTACTGAGCAGAACATCATGAGTCTAATCTCAGCCCCATCCACAATCAAGATTCGTCAATCGTTTTATTTGTTAATATGACTACATGGTAATAACAGCAACTCGGTGATTAAAAAGGTGCTCGTCTGCCTAGTGGCAAACGTTTTTGCTTACTGAGCAGAAGACCGTGGGTTTAGTCCCAAGCTCCTTCGCGTTATATGATCGTTAGGACATTAATTCAGCTTATCGTTTACCAAAACGAACCCTGCTGCAAACCCAACCCTCTTATCCAACATCCCAGTGATTCCTCGTGGAAGTGCAGAGGTGTTCTCGGCTTCCATCAAAGCGAGTGTCATGTCAACACAATCCTTCCCATTCCTTTCTTGACCTGTGTTCGGGCGCGGCCGGCGCTGGTATTGCCTAATTTAAGATCACCAGTTTTTACACATTGAGGATGATTGCTAGTCCCAAGCATCGTCTATTGGTTCTCTGTGTAATTACAGCTGATCTGGCAATAACAGAGTAGCAACCGTGGGCGGTCAATCAAGCTCAAGCTCAAGCTCAAGCTACTAATTTCGAACACAGAAAGAGAGTCCTTTCTATTTCATACTCAAATTTAAAGAACTGATTAAGACCCCTCAGTACTCAGACTAAGTCGACGCCACTGCATGTGTTTGAATTTAACAAAAGGGATGAAGGATACAATCGATAGTAGGCATACGGCACAGTCGGATTTTTTTTTTTGGGATTTGTGATATGTTATCATTTTTGTTCCACATATAGGTAACAAAAGATTTTAGCAGTATGTGAACAATCATATCGTCATTAATTTATCTGCTGTGTACAACATGGCAGAGGTGATGTTTTTGCTTCAAACTTAGTTTGTTTATGCAGCTAAATCGTCGATACCGATGCCAGATGTTGATTTGGTAGCTTTATGGAGAGTTTCGCAATCGAAAAGTTATGTCTTGTTTCACAACAACAGTATTTACATAATCAATGATTGCAGTTAAGTTGGCAACCATTTCCAAGTTGTATTAAATTGAGTGTTTCCGATGAATAAAAGTAAATTTGATAATCCATATTCGTATCTTACCTTTACATTCATTAGATTCCCGGGCATTGGCTCGTCCCCATGGTCGATCAAAATGAAACGGCTTGCAGCGTTCACAATCCCTTCCGGCGGTATTGTGCTTACACTCACACGTCAAATCATCATCACGTCCGAGAACGCACCTGGAAGCGTGACCGTTGCACTTGCATCTGCCACCAACGGCAAAGTCCGATACAGCATAGTGATGTGTCAAAGTCGGAACAGTTGGTGCAGTGATTGATTGATCGGTCACTTCGTAGTTATCGATTCCGTTGAACCCAAAGGATGACTTCTTCTGTCGGAAAGATGGTGGAACTTGTGGTGATCCAATTAAAAGAAGATCTTCCAAAGACTCCTGGGGCATTTGCAAACGATGAAAAACCACACGGATGTCGGTTGCTGTGACCCAGTCTTGAAGGACCGGTGAGGAGTCAAAATCCGATGCAGAAGGACGTCCCTCCAAAGTACTGAAGGCAATTCTAGAACCTTGAATTCCAGTTGATTCACCCATATGCCGGTGTGCATCGGTACAGCGTGCTTCCTGTTCGTTAGCTTTGGTAATGGTGGCACGATTTGGTCTACCATATACTTTTCGGCACTGAGAGCTGTAGAACTGGAACGGTTGCCAGGTTTTACCGAAGTCTGCGCTTTTGTAGATTGCAATAGAGTCTGGTTTAACAGCTCCAGGACAGAACGTTAGGCTTACATAGGTCAGTTCATATTTTTTGCCGAGTGTTAGAGTTAGTGTTACATTATCAGGAGGTTCATTCAAACCCGTGGGAGTTGGTATTGCTTCTGAGCGCCAACAGGTAACGTTATTAGAATTGTTCACGTCCGTCAATGCGGAAGCTGGATATCGCTTTCGAGGAATGGAGTCATCGCATTCATGGCACGGACCACGGAGCTCTTGGCTATCGCAAACTTCCTCAAGGCCTCGCAATCCACACGTAGAAGAAGCAACTATTGGCATACCAAATGCAGCATTCACAAAGTCCGGAACACATCGTCTCGGTCTATCCTCATCGTAGCATGGATCGAACTGCGACTGAACTGGAAACATTTCCAAATATCCTTCCGGCGAGGCCACAGCGAGTGCCACCAACAGGAAGGTGGCCCACCAAACAACACAGACCATCATGAACCACTTCATTGTCCCACAAATTACCTCTATCCACCACTGCGGTTTCAAAAATCTGTTTTCCTCATGAAATTTTAATTAATTACTATTGTGGCATGCATTAACGCTGGTCAAGCGTTGTTCCCAACCGAACACGAAATTTTAATTAATACACTTTCCGCGCGTGGGCGGCCTCTTTCTATCCCATTATAGTGGGAGAATACCAATGTAACACGATCCCCACTTCACGGGCAAAATACACGCACTACCAATTTATCACCGGTTTCACGTATTTCGTTGTTGATCTTCCGTTCGGCCTCTTCAGCAGCCAAATGGTGACTTTCAATCATCCTATTATCACATTCTAAAATTCACACCATTAACACATGTTTCACATTACTCATTGATTGGAGGTGTCTTCTTCACGATGCCATGGTGCACTTTTTCTCCACTACTATAAGTTGTCTTTAGCACTGCAATGTCACTCGGAAAGCATGCGGCCCCGAGCACCGAAACGAGCGATCAAAACAAACGTCTGAAGAATTGGTTTGTGGACGTGTGGGAAACGAGGCGCGACGGGTGACGACACTTAGTCTACAAAACACACGAGACGATAAAGCGAAACTGACGACGCGAGAGAGCGAGGAAGAGCGAAAGCCGGTCAACCCACGCCGAAGAAATCGAAGGACCGCTGAGGAACCGCTATAAGGACTGAATCACGCGAATCGCCTCTGGGCAACCTGTTAAAGCGTATGGCAACGCGAGGACGAAGTCCAACGACGACGACTGCTAGCTGGATGGATGCTGACTGAATACCAGTATGTTCTTGTACTGTACCATCAGATTCGGGACCAAAACGCGCACAAAGCAGAAAACCATCTGCCAGCAGCGAATGGAAAACCCAGAGAGATGAGCTCTACAGGTTCGAAAAAGGGAAATTTGCGTGTGGAGTTGCAAAAAGGTTGGGAAATTGCGCGGGGGCGAGTGGTGCAGGAGGATGCCGAATGGAGTTGGTCAGAATTTTCCCGCAGCTTCTTTATCATGAAGGGAGAGCGGTATACATAGTGGCTCTCGACGTCTGTCTGCAATGAGAGAATCCGCCAGGAGAGCATAGAAACATCACAATCGCGTCGATACGAGCGTCGTTTATCGGTACGGTGGGTGGGTGGGTCGGCATAAAGGACGGGTGAAACGAGGCAACCAATCTGCTCTTTTATGTGCCGTTAAAAGGCTGGATGTTTTTGTTTTCATATTCCCGCACCCTTTGTGGCGGTTCGTTTCAACTTTGAGAATCCAACGAAGCGAACGATGAAGAGAGGGAGAGTATTTGTGTGAGAATGAGTCCCACCGGAGTGAGAGACGAAGCCTGTGTGTTTAGGAGAATTTTAGCATAGTTTGAGAGCGATCAGTTGTTGAGCGCTGTGAGCAGTGAGATGCTGTGCCGGTAAGTGAAAAACACTTGCTCGCGTCTCACAAGTTGCAAAGAAGTTGACTGAAAGGTACAAGTTGAGTGAACGAGCAAACACTATTCGCGGCATAGTTATGATCAAAGCACAGAAGTCGCATGCTTAATACATTTAATTTGAGCTGTTTTGGAATCAGTTTACTTTAGGTTTTTAATCTGGTTCTGTGCGTCATTAAGTTGTTTCTAATTTACCTATAAGTGATATTGAAGAAAGCCAGCAAGTTTTATTACTTCATACTGGATATTATTTATCTACATTAAAGAGTAATGTAGACTTGTGATTTTCATTCTGCCTTAGAGACTACACCCCCCCCCCCCCCATACTGTGTACGAATCCAAAAGTATTCCAAGGTTCAACCGTTTTCTAGCTTCAGGGTTTATAATTTCAAATTTTAGTTTCCAGTGTAATCATAGCTCGTATAAATTTTACAGATTTTGGCTTAATAATATTTTACTGATTCTACACTTATTTCAAAATTCCATCCGATCCTTCGTTGAGAAAATTTCCCAGATCTCAAACTTATACGATAGTTGATCTATCAGATCTTGGACTTTGGAATTTTCTAGACCTCATTATAAAATTTCAGACCTTCGATAAAATACGATATATGTATAGAAAGGAAAAAAAAATAAGGAGTTCGTTGGATCAAATGCTTCCGGAACTACCGCTTAGTTATCTTGCAATATTGATTTGAGTAAATCCAGTGTTAGAACTTCACGTGTTTGCATTGCTCTGGAGAGTTTGGAACCATCACATTTTTATTCTGGTGATTGATTTACTGTTAACCATCGATGCTGATTTTGAACTAAATTTCAATCAAGTCACTGCTTCTGGTTTTTCTCAAGACGATATATTTTTTTCATCGCTAAATAGCGTTAAGATCAAATTTCCGCCATACCAACAAGCGCAATTCGCACTTTACCTATATTTTTTAACGGGATTATACAAAAAAATTGAACTTTGACTATTTTGGTTGTATTACTTCTGCGTTAAGTTGACGATTTACATAGTTGAAGATGCTAACGGGCGATCTATTTATTATTTCATGCTAAATTGACCCCCTCCCCCTTTCGTGACGTTTTCCTATACCTAATGCATTGCTTGTCACAAAATCGTCAACTCCTCTCCCCCTTAGGGCGTGACATAATATGAGCATCACTTCTAAGCGTCAAATAACATACTTAAAGTGGTCATTTTATACGATAGATGAACAGATGAAATTTTAGAGTTGATAGTTCCGTTAGAGTACGGCAGTGTGAAAATTGTATATAGAGAGTAGAAAGCGAGCAAGGACAATTTTGAGGAAGGTACAAATCGGTTTGATCATCTCTCGTTACCAAACTCCCCAGTTGGAGAGGGATAGGAAGGGGTATCTCCTCCTGCCACCACTGGTAAAAAGAGATGATCGCCGATTTGCTCATGTAACCTACGATGTGCGGAAACAGTTCTATCGATTGTACCGCACTCAAGTCGTAGGTTTGGAAATTGCAGCTATTGTTGCCTCTACCACTGTATGTGCTCCTGTTATTTGACGCTTAGCATCTTCAACTAAAAAATGTAATGTTTCTATCAAAGATCAACGAAAAAATGGATTAGAAAAAAAAAGATGTTTTCTAAATGAATACCTTTCCATAACAAAATCTAACACGCTACTTCTTGACTCCATCATACGAGTTTTAATTCCGTCCAAACACATGAAAGGTCATTGGATTCACTTTGGGATATGGATTCGCTTGGAGTGATTCTTATGTTTTTGAGAACAATGTATGTAAATATTATAATTATGCGTTCTTATAGACTTTTTTCTAGCTTTTGATTTAAACTATTGTACCAAATGTATAATTGTTTCGTTCACTTCAACACAAAATCTGCTCAATATGATGGAAATAGGATCTAATGCCGAAGTAGTTCTTAATCCTATACCTCGTAGGAGCTTGGATCACCGAAGTTGTTTTTTTCGATGCTGGGTACATATTTAACTGCGAGCAGTTATTTGATCTATTGTGACGACTCCGGTTTAATGAATGCGTCGTATCACTATTAGTTTAAGTGATTTCTACAAGCTGGCTATCATCTGGAATTCATCCCAGTAAGCTATTATAGAACTAACTTACTTACTTACTTAAGGGTCCTGTGCACCACCAGCGGTGCAAAGGATTAACGTGAAAGACTTCCATCCTGGGCGGCTGCTCGCTTTTGCCTTGACCTGGGCCCAGGTCAGATTCATATCGACTTGCTTAATTTCCTTATTGAGGTTCCGCCGCCATGAGCCCCTGGGTCTGCCTCTGATGCGATGTCCTGCCGGATTCCAATCCAGCGCTTGCTTGCAGATTTCGTTTCCGCCCCGTCGAAGTGTGTGGCCGACCCACCTCCACTTTCGCTCTCGAATTTCTGTTGCTATCGGCTTCTGATGACATCGACGATGGAGCTCGGTATTCGAGATCCAGTTGTGAGGCCACCAGGCACGAAGTATATATCGCAGGCATCGGTTGATGAAGACCTGCAGCTTTTGAGTGTTCTCCGCTGATACACACCACGTCTCGCTGGCGTATAACAACACAGATTTCACGTTCGAGTTGAAAATTTGGATTTTGGTGCGTTGACTTATCTGGTTGGATCTCCATACGTTTCGTAAACTCGCAAAGGCAGCCCTAGCCTTCTTGATTCGTGCACCTATGTCGCTCTTGGTCCCGCCGTCCAACGCTATTTGGCTGCCAAGATATTGGAAACTTTCGACCTTCTCCACTGCTTGCCCCGCTACCGTAAAGTTGGAAGGGTTGCCCGTGTTTATATCCAACGATTTGGTCTTGTTGACGTTGATGGTGCGACCCGCCGCAGAGGAGCGTTCGGCTAGGTCATTGAGCTTACTCTGCATATCAGAGTGCCGTTGTGCTAGTAGAGCAACATCATCAGCCAAATCGAAGTCGTTGAGATGCTCCATGGTGATAGGCTGCCAAAGCAGCCCACGGTTCGGTACACGGTCTATTGAACCTACCATGATCTCGTCGGTTACGATGAGAAACAGTAGCGGTGATAGTATACATCCTTGTCTCACACCAGCGACTACCCGGATAGGGTCGGACAAGGCTCCGTTATGCAGAACTCTGCACGTGAAAGCCTCATACTGCGCTTCGATGAGGTTGACGATTTTATCCGGGACTCCCTTGCGTATCAGGGCGCCCCACAGATTCTCGTGATTGAGACGGTCGAAAGCTTTTTCGTAGTCAATGAATATCAAATAAAGGGACTCTTGGAATTCATTGACCTGCTCCAGGATGATTCGGAGCGTGACAATATGGTCCACACAAGATCTTCCGGCACGGAATCCTGCCTGCTGCTGTCGGAGAGTCGCGTCGATCTTCTCCTGTATATGAACTGTATTATAGAACGAATGAACTTTATTGTCTTATTTGGCGAACTTATCCATTTTTTTTCCTCTGTTCGGGACCTAACACTACTGCGACCAGTAAATTGATCTATTGCAGTATATCCCGTGTCCGTAGTTTAGTGCATGTCGTATTACTCCATCACTATTGAGAAATGATGAAGTTTTATTCGATTTTTTACAGTTGCCACTCTTGCATTTATCGCAAGGATCCGACTCGCTATTTATACCCTTCGAAGTGTTGAAACACCCTCCAAAGGCGCGCCCCTTTGTCAGTCGAAATTGGATTCCATAGCAACAAAATTAAAGAATGACACCGATAATGACCATGCATCAGAACCCTAGTCTTAACCACTTCAAACTAGGGAACAACGAATAGAAGATTAGGAATCACATAGATGAAGACAACTAATTCATTTTTTTCCTTGTTTCAAGATCATCCTCGTTAGACAAAGCCGAGTCTTGTCACTATCAACAAGGCATAAAAAGTAACAAAGACTAAGATGTGTTCCTTGGATTACTGAAAAATCCTTTGCCCCTAGTTTGAATTAGTCAGGACTAGGAATCGGTGGTAGATCTTACATCCCGTAACGTACCACGAAAAGGTGATCTACCCACGTTACGGGGCAACTCATCCATACATCTGAGGGTTGTATTAAACCCTTATCGAAAAATTGTCTCCTTTTATGAAGAAGTGCTGAACAGTTACATACTAAACGTTCCAAATTTGCACTCTCTAGGTTGCAGAAGCAACAAGTGTCATCTTCCAATTTGCTTAGCTGTTTTAAATAATACTTACTTGAACAGTGGCCCGTAGCTAGACTGATAAAAGTACATCATCAAAAAATTACAAGTCTTTTTTGGAGAGACTAAGAAGTCTTTGAGTTGCTCTTTGATTGGGTGGTATAAATCTCTTAGATTGTCGAGCTGTTATAGTGTTTTTTCCAAATGTCATCTATCATCGATTTTTCCCAGTTCTTTAGTTAGTGTTCTCTTAGCGGTCGACAGAAG